ACCGAGCCCGGCCGAGATGGTGTTTCTAACCATTCGTGCTCTGGGAAGCAAAAGGTACCCCTCTCGATGTGGCCCCCCTGCTCCCAGGATTGTCACAGCCGAGGCTGTGGTGTAAGGGTCACTTGGGAGAGGGCAGGGAGAAGGAAAGCTCCAGGAGAGGAGAGTTGACCCCCGGCTACCTCTCTGGTCTCCCCTTGCAGGTAGCCGAGAGACCGCCTTCACCTACGCCGTGAGCGCAGCAGGGGTGGTCAACGCCATCAGCCGGGCTTGTCGCGAGGGCGAGCTTTCTACCTGCGGCTGCAGCCGGACAGCGCGGCCCAAGGACCTGCCCAGAGACTGGCTGTGGGGTGGCTGTGGGGACAATGTGGAGTACGGCTACCGCTTTGCCAAGGAGTTTGTGGATGCCCGGGAGCGGGAGAAGAATTTTGCCAAGGGATCGGAGGAGCAGGGCCGAGTGCTCATGAACCTGCAGAACAACGAGGCTGGCCGAAGGGTAAGGTGGACCACCGCGCCCCTCGTGTCCCTACACACCCCCTCCCGTGGCGGCCTGGCCATCGGGGGGCCTCCATCTGACCATGAAGATTCTTACCTGCAGTGCTGACCCAGAATGCCCACGTTATTGAACAAGTCCCTTTCAAAAGGCCCCATTCCCAACAAGCACATGTGAGCATCATTTTTTTGTTTTTGAGTTGGAGTCTCACTCTGTCGCCCAGACTGGAGTGCAGTGGCCACTCCCGGCCACCGCAGCCTCGACCTGCTGGGCTCCGGCGATCCTTCCGCCTCAGCCTTCCAAGGAGCTGGAACTACAGGCGCGTGCCACCACACCCGGCTCATTTTGATTTTATTGTAGAGATGAGGTCTCGCCAAGTTGCCCAGGCGGGTCTCGAACCCACGGGCTCAGGCAATCCACTCACCTCAGTCTCCCAAAGGCGCAGGATTACAGGCTGAGCCACCGAGCCCGGCTTGTGAGCCTCATTTTTTAAACCTAATTTATTACTTTGCAGGACATCTGTCACTAGAGGACTGAGGTGCAGCGTTTGGATCAGAATTCCAGACTTATGGAGTAGAGTTTCTGTCTTGACCATACCTCCTTTGCAACTTGAACCGATAAGATGATTGGAAGTTTAGGCCATTAGGCTTAGGCTAGGGCTTATAATTTGTTAAGGCTTTAGGTAACCAGAGCTGACTTTTTTTTAGTTGAGTTCTCACTCTGTTTTCCACATTGGTGTGTAGTGGCACGATCACCACAGCCTTGGCCTCCTGAGTTCAGGCGATCCTTCTGCCTCAGCCTCCAGAGGCACCAGCTCTGTACCATACCTGGCTATTATTTGTATTTTTATTTTTGTAGGGACAAGGTCTTACTATGTGGCCCAGGCTGGTCTCAAACTCCAGGTTTTAGCAATCCTCCCACCTCGGTCTTCCCAAAGTGCTGGGATTACAGGTGTGAGCCTCCAAACTCAGCCCAGAGCTGATGTTTAAGAGCTGTGATCACACATATCCAGAATGCCAGCCAAGAAACATATTCAAGAACTAATGGTGAACACTTCTGGGCTAGGAGGTTTGGTTGGTTTTTTTTTTTGAGTTGGAGACTCACTCTGTTGCCTGGGAGTGAGATCTTCCCCAGGAGGTGGGATCAGATGCAGGCCGCCATGCCTAATAAGCTAACTTGGTGAAATCTGTCTCTACAATAAATCAAAAAATTAGCCGGGCATGGTAGCGTGCGTGCCTGTAGTTCCAGCTACTTGGGAGGCTGAGGTGGAAGAATCTCATGAGCCCAGCAGGTCGAGGCTGCGGTGGATGAGCATGCCACTGCACTTCAGCCTGGGCAACAGAGTGAGACTCCAACTCAAAAAAGAAAAAAAATTAACTGGATGTGGTGGCTTGTACTTGTAGTTCCAGTTACTTAGAAGCTAAGGCAGAAGGATCACCTGAGCCTAGCAGGTTGAGGCTGCAGTAGCCATGATCGTGCCACTGCATTTTTGCCTGAGCAACAGAGTAAGATTCCTTCTGAAAAAAACAAAAGGAGTGTGTGCAGTGGCACGCTCATGGTCACCCCAGGGTCAACATTCTGGGCTCCAGCAATTTTTCTGCCTCAGCTTTCCAAGTAGCTGGAATTACAGGTGCACGCTATCACGCCCGGCTAATTTTTGATTTATTGTAGAGATGAGGTCTTGCCAAGTTGCCCGGGCTGGTCTCGAACCCGTAGTCTCAGGCATTCCACCCGCCTCAGCCTCCCGAAGTGCTGGGATTATAGGCTGAGCCACCGAGCCCAGTCTATGCTGGGAGTTTTTAGATATAAGTGGAAGTGAGACGATTGAGAGGATACTTCCATCATCTTTTTTTTTTTTAAGTTAGAGATAGGGTCTAGCTCTGTAGCCCAGAGTACAGTGGTCTAGTCACAACTCACTGCAGCCTAGGACTCCCAGGCTCAAGCAATCCTCCTGCCTCAGCCTCCTGAGTAGGTGAGACCAGATGCTGGCCGCCATGCCCAAATAATTATTAAAAATGTTTTGTAAAGACAGGGTCTCTCTATGTTGCTCAAGCTGGTCTTGAACTCTTGGCCTCTCACCTTGAACTCCATGTGATCCTTCCACCTTGGCCTCCCAAAATGCTGGGATTATAGGTATGAGCCACCACACCTGGCAATACCAACTTTTTATTTATTTACTTATTTTTGAGTCAGACTCTCACTCCATCGCCCAGGCTGGAGTGCAGTGGCATACTCGCAGCAATCCCAGGTCAACCTGCTGGGCTCTGGCGATCCTTCCACCTCAGCCTTCCAAGTAACTGGAACTACAGGTGCGTGCTACTGCAGTCAGCTCGTTTTTTTTTTTTTTTTTTTCCATTTTTATTGTAGAGACAAAGTTTTGCCAAGTTGCTCAGGCTGGCCTTGAACCCCGGGGACTGCTCAGGCAGTCCTCTCACCTTGGCCTCCCAAAGTGCTGGGATTACAGACTTGAACCAGCGCACCTGGCCAACACCAACTTTTTTTTTTTTTGAGTTGGAGTCCCACTCTGTCGCCCAGCCTGGAGTGTGATGGCATGCTCACAGCCACTCCAGTGTTGACCCGCTGCACTCTGGCAATTCTTTTGCCTCAGCCTTCCAAGTAGCTAGAACTACAGGTGCATGCTGCCATGCCTGGCTATTTATTTATTGTAGAGATGAGGTCTTGCCAAGGTGCCTGGGCTGGTCTTGAACCCACGGACTCAGGCGATTCACTCACCTCGGCCTCCCAAAGTACTGAGATTACAGGCTGAGCCACCAAAACCAACTTTTTTTTTTTTTGAATTGGAGTCTCACTCTGTCGCCCAGACTGGAGTGCAGTGGCTGCTCCCGGCCACTGCAGCCTCGACCTGCTGGGCTCCGGTGATCCCTCCGCCTCAGTCTTCCAAGTCGCCAGAATTACAGGTGTGCACTACCACGCCCGGCTAATTTTTGATTTATTGTAGAGATGAGGGCTCGCCAAGTTACCCAGGCAGGTCTCAACCCCGCGGACTCAGGCAATTCACTCACCTCAGCCTCCCAAAGCACGGGATTACAGGCTGAGCCACCGAGCCCGGCCAAAACCAACTAAGACTCAAGCAAAGTCTCTCCAATCTCATTGTAAGATACAACCATCTTCTAAGCCTCAATTTCAGTAGAAACTGAAATATAGGTTTGAGATGAGGTTGGTTCATTGTAAGTATAGAACATACCTAGGCAACGGATTCAGGTTTGCCTTGACGGTGTGCTAGATGGCATGTTCCTTCCCTGGCTGTACCTTGTTCGTGAGGCTTTCCCCTCTGAGCACATCTGGCCTCCTCTTTTCTCTGCTGTCCCCTACCATGGTTTGCCTCTGCCACAGGAAACTGGAGGGTCTGGCCCACAGGAAGCTCTGCCTCTTGCTGGTTCAGTGTACCATTGTTAGCGGGACCTGAGGGCAGCATGGGTATGTACCCAGGTTTCCCTTTCGGAAGTTCTGAGGTCCGAGATCTGAGTGCTGAGTGTTTGGAGGGCTCTTTCTCCTAGCAAAGGACCTCTCAGGAAACAACACAGACTTCTTTCTTGGAGTGTTGTCCCCACTCCGGTCTGTGTCAAGCCAGAGGTATTGTAATGAGACTAGAGATGCACTAATTAAAAAATGGAAAAAGGTGGTCAGGTGCATTGGGTCACATCTGTAATACCAGCACTTTGGAAGATGGAGGTGAGAGGATTGCCTGAGCCCAGGGGTTTGAGACCAGCCTGGGCAACTTGGTGAAACCTGTCTCTATAATAAATCAAAAATTTAACCGGGCATGGTATTGTACACCTGTAGTTCCAGCTATTTGGAAGACTGAGGTGAAAGGATCACCTGAGCCCAGCAGATTGAGGCTGCAGTGACTGTGAGCATGCCACTGCACTCCAGCCTGAGCAACAGAGTGAGACTCTGACTCAAAAAAAAAAAAAAATTAGTTGGTTGTGGTGGCATGTGCCTGTGGATCCCGCTACTTAGAAGCTGAGGCAGAAGTATCACCTGAGCCCAGCAGGTTGAGGCTGCAGTAGCCATGATCATGCCACTGCACTTTTGCCTGGGCGGCAGAGTTAGACTCCAACTCAAAAATATAATAATAATAATAATTGAGAAAGGCAATTTCTTAGAAACTTAGTGTTGGTTCACCAGTGATTCAGTAATAGGATATTAACATATTTCTAAAAGTGTCTTCATATATCAAATTTTTGAAACATTAACTCATGCTTTATTAGAGTGCGCATCAAAGAATGGAAATGTCTTTTGTATGGATCAGGCTTTTGTAATATTGGCAGGATATAACATGGCACGCCTGTGTATACCTGACACCACCATCAGTCATGTGACATCAGGTAGAGGTTAGAATTGGTTCTTTGCCTGGCATCTTCCTTTTACTTATCCCCTATCCAGAAGCTAGTTTTGTTCAGTCACAAATGGGGGTGTGTTGGGTGATGTCAATCTGTGGTGATATTACGCACTGGTCATTGGATCATTGCTCTAATCTGTGGCTGTTGACGAAACCTGTTGTTCCAGCTACTTGGAAGGCTGAGACAGAAGGATCTCCCGAATCCAGTAGGTCGAGCCTGCAGTGGCCGTGAGCGTGCCACTGCACTCCAGCCTGGGCAACAGAGTGGAAAAAAAAAATCTGTGGCTGTCTTAAGATCAACCAGGGCAGAGAGACCAGAACCATCGCAGGTGGTTTTTACTTGAGGCATCTGTGGAGCCATCCTGGTCTCTCGGGCATCCCCTCTGTTTGGCAGTCCGTTGGCTCAAACAGGGTCTAACCCTGAGGAGTAGGGAGAGATCTGGGGAAAGGGTTAAGATGGTTATTTGGTCTTATTTTTATTAATTTTTTGAGTCAGGGACTCACTCTGCCACCCAGGCTGGACTGCAGTGGTGTGATCTTGGCTCACTGCAGCCTTGAACTTCTGGGCTCAGGCTATTCTTCTGCCTCAGCCTCCTGAGAAACTGGAACTGCAGGGACATGACACTATGCCTGGCTAATT